CTGAGCCATCCTGCCACCTTTTGGCAGCTCAGCTCGGGCCGGGCATCGAACCGCTGTTGCTCAGAGCTCAAACTCTTGAGTGATCTCTTAACCAACTGAGCCACTCGGCTGGCCCCTGAAATTTTTTTTTTTAAGGTAAAAGAAAAAATATTTTCAATGCACATTACAAAATCATAGCAGAATTAAAAAGTCAAAGGTCACTTATAAGCTAACTCACAAACTATAAATGGCCACTGGGCATTAAACAAGTGAAAATATTAAAATTTTTTTTATCTATATAATTGGGAAAATTTAGGAAGACTAATAATTTGCAGCATTGGCAGAGATATCTAGTTACAAACTCTTGTACACTCTTGGTGGTATTATGAACTGATACAATATTTTTTGGAGTGCAGTTTAGTGACTTTTTTCAATATGTGGTAGGTCTATAACCTTTGATTCATAAATTCACTTCTAGAACTTTGTCAAGTAAAAATTGTGGAATCTCCATACAAAAATATGTGTATAATGATATTTATTTATTCCCTTTTGTAACACTGAAAAACTGGAAATAGTCTTGGTATTCATCAGTATATAACTGATTGAATAAACTATATCATTTAGGAAAATAACTCTTAAGTGTATGTACTAAAAATAATGGGATACACCTACTACCCAGCTGGTAGTTTCTAAATTCCATTCTCCACTGAAAGCAACCAGGGCTGCTTAGTGAAATGACTGTTTCCTGGGTTCAGTCGGGGAAAGGACAAGCTGACCCTGGAACATGTTGCTGTGCCAAAAAGTAATGAAGTACCCAAAGAAAGATGGGGATGTGTCAAAGGATACAGCATCAGGCTTGAAGGCTTTGGGCATAAAATAATTAGGAAGTGAATGATCACCATCAAATAAAATAAGAATCCACAAGTCCCTACTGTACAAATGAATAAATGGAGGAGAGTATGAAGCTCTTTTTTACAGTAGAATGTGGACTGATAAATATAGAAGGAATGATGGAATAAGAAAATCACCACCAGGCAAGAATCATCGCTAGAAGAGAGAGGATTTGTGCAAGATGGTGGAGTAGGGAGCACAAAGAATCTGTCTCCCCACCTAGAAATAATTACACTGGCAAAATCTGTCTGACGTAAGTATTTTGGTACTCTGGAATCTATTGAAGGCTTGCAACTGCCAGGAAAAAGCTTGGGCGATAATTGCAGTAATTGCAGTCAATTTCAGCTTCTAGCACAGTAGCAGCTACCCATCCCCTACCCCAGCCCCATGACAGGCAGCTGTGTACATGTTCCTGGAGCAGCTAGTGGGAGCCAGAGTAGGCCTAAAGGACCCTGTCCTCCAAAAACAGAGGATTTATGTTCTGGTCATGGATTTCTACTCATCACAGAGGTGGACACAAAGAGGTGGTGCCATTGTTTTTGCACCTCCCCACATTGTTGCAAACCTGTCCCCCTCCATCTTTTGGGGGATTTAAAGGGCTAGTGCCCCTTTTATCCTCCCTTCATTTTTCTCTTTTAGCCATTTTTAGGAGCTAGACATTAAGGACTAGGATATTCAAAAGCAACTGAATATATAGGAAGAATTAGAAGATGACTACACAAGCCCAGGCAAAGAAACAGGCTCTGTAAAGCCCTTAGAAGACCTTAAGGTTACACCTTAGGCTGATCCTTCCCACAGGAACAGCCTATAACAATCAATAAACAAAAGCAATAACAAAAACAAAAAAAAGCAAACCCTGGGAAAGGAGGAAACTCTGATTTCTACAGTTACCACATTATTAGATTTAAATGTACAATTTTCAACAAGAAACCACAATCCTTACAAAGAAGCAGGAAATTATAGCCCAGTCAAAGGAACAAAATAAAAGAAAACAGTCCCTAAAAAAAAGACCTGATGGCAGATCTCCTAGACATACTTTAAAACAACTATCTAAAGGATGCTCAAAGTAGTAAAAAAAAAAAAAAAAAGATGTGGAAAAAGAAAACAATGTATGAACAAAATGGAAATATCAACAAAGAGAGAGAAAACCTGAAAAGAAACCAAAAATAAATTCTGGAGTTGAAAATACAATAACTTGTTGCCTTATAGCTTCGTCCTTGACCGCCCCCCCACACACATACCAATCCCTGACCTAATGAGGTCCCGAGGGAGTGTCTCAGAATGCTGAGACCCGGTGGAATGATGCCGGTAAATCTTCTTCAAGGGAGTGTCTCGGAACCAACAGAATGATGTCGGTTGGCCGTGGTACAGCCATGCCATCCTGGGGATTGAGTGCGAGGGAGTATGAAGGCACTGCCAGTGTTGGAATACAATTGGGCAGGTTGATGGAAAACAGCCATAAGGCACATATCACACGGACTTTAGAAAAAACAAGCTTCACTTCTTTGAAGTTTCCAAATAGAAACCATGCATTGGCCCGATTCGGGGCTCAGTTCCAGAGAGACTGCAGCCCCCTGGCCTCACTTTTACTCTATAATTGACTCGTGTTTCTTTAACCATGCACCACCCCTTGCTGTGCAGGACGCGGCAATAACTGAAATGAAAAAATTCACCAGAGGAATTCAGTGGCCAATTGAACAGGCAGAAGGAAGAATCAGAGTACTTGAAGATAGGACAATGAAAATTGCATCTGAGGAAGAGAGAAAAAGAGGGTGAAGAAAAGCAAATAGAGCCTAAGGTACCCGTGGGACAACATCAAGTGGACCACCACATGCATTATGGGTGTCCCAGAAAGAGGAGACAGAGAAAGGGGCAGAGAGACTGTTTAAAGTACTAATGGCTGAAAACTTCCCAAATTTGATAAAAGACATGAGTATAAATATCAAGCAGCTGAACAGACTCTAAGATTAACTTAAAGAGACCCACACTGAGACACCTTATAATCAATCTTTTGAAAAGCAAAGACAGAGAAAACAGCAAGAGAAATGACTCATCACATACAAGGGATCCTCAAAAAAAGATTATCAGCAGATTTCTCATCAGAAACTTTGGAAATTAGAGGCAACAAGCCAATATATTCGAAGTGTTAAAAGAAAAAAACAACTGTCAACCAAGATCCTACATCTGACGAAACTGTCCTTCAGAAGTGAGGGAGACCTTATCTGAACCCCCAATACCCAATAAAGTTCCTTTTAACACACACACAAAAAAAAAAGTGAGGGAGAAATTAAGAATTCCCAGATAAAAGCTGAGTTCTGTCCTGCAAGAAATTCTCAAAAGAGGCCAGCAAAGTAAAATGAAAAGACACTAGACAGTTACACGAAGCCATATGAAGAAATAAAGCAGTTAGTTAAATACATGGGCAATTATAAAAGCTACTAGTATACCAGTGCTTGGTTACTCTACTTTTTGCTTTCTGCAAGATTTAAGAGACTAATATATTAAGAGAGAGAGAGAGAGAGAGTGTGTGTGTGTGTGTGTGTGTGTGTGTGTGTGTGTGTGTGTGTGTGT